GGGGGGGGGGGCGACAGAGAGGTCGCCGTCAGCTTCACCCACCTGGAAGTCGTTGACGGGGGCCTGCAGGCCGCTGAAGGCCGGGATGAACAGGATGCCGTCAGAGTCCGGGACGGACTCGGCCATGGCGGAGGACTGGGCGGGGTCGGAGTAGAGGCCGACGCTCTGGCCCCAGTTGACGATGTTGGCCGTGTCGTTGGAGGCGCCCTCCACCAGGTACACGAGCTCGTCCTTGACCCGCCACCCCACCACCGGGTACAGCCCCTTGACGGACGCGTGCGGCTTGCCCGCCGTGTTGATGTTGACGAAGGTGCCGGTGCCCATGGTCACCTTGATGAGCTCGGGCTTGAAGCAGCACGCCCCGAACACGGCCGCCGACTGGTCGGCAATCTGTGGCACATTGAGGCGAGGTCAAAGGTCGTGGCCACTCAAGTGTGGCTCAGACTGCCGTGCTGCTCCGCCTTGAAGTCGGCGACCGCCCGGCACCCATACTCATACTCACCAGACTCCTGATGGGGATGGCCGCGCCCCACACAGCCGGGTCGCTCTCGCCCAGCGCGCCCGCTGAGTCGCCCACGGCGGGCAGCGCGTCCTCCGGGATGCCGAACAGCCCCAGCGCCCACGAGCCCCACGTCATGGTGAAGGGGTCGAAGAAGCCCGTGGCGGACGCCGACGACACGTCAGTCACGTGGCACCTGCCCGCCGTCATCTGTCCAAAAAGAAAAACATCCGCTTTAGCGACAAGACTCACGGCCACACAAAAAGTCGTCGCCGGGCGCTCTCCTCTCACCTTGTACATGAGCCAGGTGTCGACGGTGCCGAAGGCGGCCCGTCGTTGCGCCACGGCCTCCCGCAGCGCCGGCACGTTGCTGAGCGCCCAGCTGAAGCGGCAGGTGACCTGCGAGTTCATCAGGCGCAGCACGCTGCCCGCGAGGAAGCGCTTGCTGCCCGTCACCGCGTACAGGCAGCGGGCGCCAAAGCGCATCGCCTGCGGAGAGCAAACGAGTAAAGTCGGTTGTTACACCCACGAGAACGTCCATTATGCTTGTCACATTGGCTCGCCCATCCTCCTCACCCTCCATGTGAACGAGCTGTTCCACTGCCTGACGATGCTGTCGGCCCGCACGTCCTTCCAGGTGATGAAGTTGTGGAAGGGCTTCCCCGTCGCGCGGTCCCACGTCACGAAGGTGCTCCGCTGCGTGGACACCCCGAGGGCCGTCACCTGCTCCGGCCTCAGGCCCGCCGCTGGACAGGGGAGGGGAGAGAATGTCACACGCTTGATACAGTTAAAAGGCACAGAGCGACGAGTAGAACCCGCGAGGCTCACCCTTGATCGCATCCTCGACGACCTTCCTGGAAGACTCCCAGAGAACCTCCGGGTCTATCTCCACGTAGCCGCGCTTCGGGTACAGTAGTTTCACCTGCAACCGAAAACGCAGTCGTTGAATACATTTTCACGGACACTCGACATACCCGACCTCTAAAATGCTCCGCTGTCTCAGTACGGGAAGTGTTGAGGTGGGGATTGGCTGTGCATTGTTTATTTATGGTGATATATAGCTTGACAGGTGATTTGCGCGAAGGCTTGTTGTCCACCTAAGGAAGGAAGGGTGACGTCGCGCGGTCCTTCCCTGCTGCGGGGCCGCTGCCGAGGGCCGCCGCGCCACCCGAGCCGCGGGTCCACGCCGATAGCGATAGCGGCGCGGCGCCAAGGGTCGCCTGCCCGGCACTTATCTGCCCGGCGCATCTAATTTTGGCACCTGCTGCCCGCCGTCCATTGGGCTCTTTTGACTGTCCCGACACTTTGGAATACGTTCCTCGCGACGGTGCGCCGATATTAACCCCAGCCACCCCTCCGCATGATTGTCATGGAGTGATGGGTAACTCATTTCGCTCTGAAACCCGCTAAAACGCGGTCACTGACATGTGCGGGCGAAACACAACCCCCCCCCCCTTTCCCCAATTTAAAATGCCGCAACACGGTGGCGTCCCAGAAGCCTGGAGCACCCGAACCCGAGCACCTGCAGGGCATGCCAAGCCGCGGCCGCATTGGCAGCACTGCCTGACGGGACACGGCAGGTGACGGCAGGGCGGGCCGCAGGACCTGCGCAGCTCCGACTGACAGGAGAGGTTAGGGCGGCCGGACCTACCGAGTCCGTGGCGGTGGCGATGACGTTCCCCGACGCGTCGACGATGTGGCAGCGTATCGACGTCGTCCCGACGTCCAGCGCCGCGACGAAGGGCTGTGCGGGCGCCGCGCCCTCCATGCCAAGTCTGCGCAACGACCCCGGAGCGCCCGGAACTCGGCAATCATCTGCCCGACATTTGCAGGCGACGGCCGACCAAAGCTCAAAGCACCAAAGGGACGACGCGGGAAGTGCCGTGGGAGGGGGCGATCAGGGGGGAGGGGAGGAGGTGCTCCGGAGACACGCTAACTCACAGACAGTTTCGTTGGGGGTGTGACAGACCTGCGACACAGGGCTCAAGAAATACACGGGCAAAGAAAGGACGAGTTCTGAAGCGTCATTTTCACCTCACCTTTCGTGCCGCAAAGTTCTAACTTGCAGCAGGTTGGCAACGTCAGAAGAAACCAATGCCGACAACGTTGACAAGCTGAAGCGTATTTCATTCAATCGAGACTAATGAAGCTTCGAAATGTTCGTGAAACGAAATCAACATTAATGCGTGCACCTACTAAAGGACAACAAAAGCTTGCTGGACCTGTTTGCGCAAGGTCAAACCAATAAGATCAGGGTGCGCAAGTGGCGTGGCACTTCTGTAAAGATATCAAATCAGCTGGTCGCAAGATGGCGACCCTCACCAAGATTACGACTACTTTCACAAAAAACATAGTTAAACGAAGTTTTGTGACTGTGACAAGTGAATCGAGGTGTCAAATTCTGAATGCGGGACCCTTGAGTGTGCATGCCTTGAAAGAAAATCGTGCGAAACCAGTGCGTGCTGTGCGAGTAGCAAACTCTAACCTTCGTCTCTCCACGAAAGCCGACGAATCAGACGACAAGACCAAGAAAGAACATGTAAACATTGGCACTATAGGGCATGTCGACCACGGAAAAACGACTCTTACTGCAGCTATAACAAAGTACCTGTCACGCAATGGATCAACGGTCTTCAGATCATATGATGATATTGACAAGGCAGAAGAGGAACGAGCAAGAGGAATTACCATCAATGCCTCTCACGTAGAATATGCAACAGCAAATCGACATTATGCGCATACAGATTGTCCTGGTCATAGGGACTTTTTAAAAAATATGATTTGTGGTGCTTCACAAATGGATGGAGCTATCCTTGTAGTCGATTGTAATGATGGGCCAATGCCCCAGACTACAGAACACTTGCTTCTTGCTAAACAAATAGGTGTTAAACATATTGTTGTCTTTGTCAATAAAGTAGATACAGCATCTGAGGACCTGAAGGAATTGGTGGAATTAGAAGTTCGAGACATGCTTACCAATTTCGGATGGGCTGGTGATTCAGTTCCACTTATTCATGGTTCAGCTCTGTATGCGTTAGAAGGAAATCAATCCGAAATAGGAGAGCCTGCTATTAAGAAGCTGCTCGATGCCCTCGACACATATGTCCCTGCACCAAAACGAGACTACTCATCTCCATTTATCATGCCAGTTGACAGTGTGGTCAGTGTGTCAAGGGGCACTGTTGTAATTGGTACAGTTAAGCAAGGAACCTTCAAAAAAGATGATAAAGCTGAAGTAGTGGGATTTGGTGCTTCTTTCCCCACTTCGATTAGCACAATTGAAGTATTTCGGAATGCTGTTATGTCTGCTAAAGCTGGAGACCATGTGGGTGTGCTCTTGAGGCAAATGAAAGCCAGTAATGTTAAGAGAGGAATGCTTCTAGCAGCAAGAGGTACGCTGAAACAATCCAATCAATACACAGGAACAGTGTATTTTCTTGACAAATCTGAGGGAGGTCGTTCTAAACCGGTAACCCGTGGATATATACAAGTTCTATTTTCTGAGACATGGCAAGTTACTGCTAGATTTGATTTTGAGGCAGATATGATAATGCCTGGTGAGAGTGCTGCAGTAACCATAACTTTACTGAAAGATATGGTTATACTGCCAGGACAAGCATTTTCAGTGAGGGAAGGCATGGAAACTGTTGCATCAGGTATCATTCACAAGTCTTTAGAATCAGTTTTTGTTCCAGAAAGAAAGTTGTTTAAATATGAATGGAAATCTCAGGCAGCATCTAACAAGACGGGCCTGAAAAAATGAAGTTAGCATTGAAATATTTGAATTATTGTAACTATTATTAACACTTTGTCCAATGTTTCCACTTTGAAAAATGCATATGGAATTCAATAAATGTTACTTTTGAGGCTTTTCCAGTAGTTTGGTATTTTAATTATCAACTTGATTATGTACAATGACATACTAATCAACAATGAATTGAATAGACACATGTACACTAAAAGGTAGCTGGGAGAAAGATTAATTACATGGAAAATTAAAAGTTAAAATGTTAAATAAAGAAGTACAACCAATGAAGACAAGGAATTGTCCTAACTCATACAGCATTTGAACTCACAAATGCCCATACATCTGGAAATACTATATCATTTTAAAAACAAACTAAAAGAAATTGAAGTTGATACTCTTACTCAATAGTACGGCCACATTACTCGTCTACAAGTAATGCAATCACATTCACGAGCGTTTTCACCTTTCCTTCTTGCAACTTTCAGAGGACTTCTTCCTGGCAGCTTTCGAACGAAGGACTGTGTAGCAGCTTTTAACGGTGATTTGTATTTTGTGGCAGCTGCTTGGCTACTCTTGGCAACATACTTGTCTTTGGGTAGACACAGGTTGCGTGATATATTGTCCATGTTGTCTCCTCTTGGGTCCAAAACTTTCTTATTCACCTGAATAATTTTAGACAATGGTTGTTTTGAAGGGGACACATACTTAGAAGAGTTCCAAGTTGACTTCTTACTTTTGTATGGAGAAGTCAGAATATTTTTCTGGAAAAAAAGAAAGTTGATTAAATGGAGGAGGAAAATAATTAGAACTGATAAGGCAGGACCATTACCCACCTGCATGAGACCAACACTGCTGTCACTGGCAGAAATGGTAGTTGGTGGTGCGAATTCATTTTCTTTTTTAGGGGTAGAGGTCTTCACCTGCAAAAATACATGTTAGCGCAAAGCAAAAGAATTTCATGTGCAGGAGTACTAAAATTTACGATTTATTCAACTTCATTTGTGAAAGGCATTTAGCCTTTTATCAGTAAGTATCATTATATCACATTCATGAAGTGTTTGGATTATCTTACCGGAGTGTCAGTGGAATGAGCATCATCAGAATCTTCATATTGGAATGCCTCAGGCAAGAAAGTAGGAGAAATTGTTTGCTCCCTCCAGTTCTTAGATGTTGCTACAACATTTCCTTTAGGCTTTGAAGAAATTAGAACAGATGGTTTCCATTTCTTTGAGGGTGGCTCAGGGCTCTCAGCATCAAAGGTGTATTCTGACTTGTCAAGTCTATTTTTTTCATCCTCTTCAAATGATTTTATTTTCCTTTGCAAAGCAAGCTTAACAGAGGAGGAGCTCATTTTCAAACTACTGGGGATTCGGTCCAGCGATGAAAGAACAATTTGTTCCAAAGAATGAAGCTGTTTCAGGTTGATAACTTAAGGAAAAAGAAACAAAGTTTAGGACATGGCATGGTTTTAAACAATACTAAAACATATTTCAAGACTTACTTTTGCTCTTGAGCTTGTCCACTAAGAAACCCAAGTCTTCATCAACCTTGTCAATATGGTTTCTCTTTCGATAATCCTTGGCTTTTTCGTAAAGGGGAAAGAGATTCCCTTCTTGACAACAGCAAGTCAAATAGTCAAGCATAATTGTGTATGCTAGCAACTCTTCCTTGGGGCTGAATATTTTCTTGCCAGAACGTGGCTTCTTCAAAGATTTCTGAAGAAAAATCATTTTATTAGTTGTAAAAT